ATTAGTCTTGCATATCTGGGGATGTGGAGGCCGTGCACCCTTAGAAATTGAGGGTGGTGTCATCTCTGTCCTGGGTTTAGAAGCCATTGAAGCCCTCCCACTGGCCAACACACCTGAAGTGTTTGGTCTTCATTCCAATGCTGAGATTGGATATTACACTCAGGCGGCTCGAGACATGTGGACTCACCTGCTGGAGCTGCAGCCTCAGACAGGTAGAGTCGGCTGTGGGGACTGAACTGGTGTTGTTAGGGTAGAAGGGTGTTGTTGGCACAAAGGTCTGTTGGGTTCTTGTGGTTTCTGTGTTGCTGATGCCTTTCCAAGAACCAGAAGGCTCGGGATGCCCCAGTCCTAACCCTCAGATTCCTTCCTCTTCCTAAAAAGTGTCCTGGTTTTAGGGGAATCTGGCAGCGGCATCAGCCGAGATGATTACATTGGCCACGTTGCCAAGGACATAGAAAACAAGATGCCCAAAATCTTTGACTTGGACCAGGTCAGGAAGCACCTTGGGGTGGGAATCTCCCCGACTTCGGTGGTGCTTCTGCAGGAGCTGGAGCGCTTCAACAAGCTTGTCATACGGATGTCCAAGTCTCTGGTTGAACTTCAGAGGGTGAGCACGCTCCCCATGTGCAGACCTCTGCCTCCATGCAGTACCCGGCTTTCCCATAGTCTTGCCTGACCACTCTCGGTTCTGCGAACAGGCCTTGGCTGGAGAAGTTGGAATGAGCAGCGAGTTAGATGACGTAGCCAGGTCTCTTTTCCTCGGGCAAATCCCTAATATCTGGAGAAAGCTGGCCCCTGACACATTAAAGTCCCTTGGAAACTGGATGCTCTACTTCCTGCGGCGGTTCAGCCAGTACACGTTGTGGGTAAGTGAGAGATAGACAGTCCATGCATCTGTTCAAGGCCCAGCCTGGACCTTCCCTGCCCAGCCACCTCCTGTGGCCCCCCTGTGGTACCTTCTGTTCGCAGGTGATTGGGTGCTCTAGAAATGCCCTCTGATTCTACAAGCGTACCCGTATCTTTTTTTCCTTGTCTTTTTGTTTTTAAGACTTTGAAGCCGATTATGCACAGCCTGATTTGTCCATCTCAGAGTCCCTCTCGGCCATCATCCAAGTGCATTTAGGTCCACCTTATTCTGTTAAGGGGACTCCTTTTTGCAGATATTCCATGTCCTTTCCCTGTTGGACATTTGGGTGGTTCCCCTTGGGTTTTTTCCCCCTCTATTTTGCGAATACAACATTCTGGCACACGTACCTTTGGATGCGCACGTAAGTATATTTCACGGGTAGGTTCCCACAGGAGAAGTCTTGGGTCCCAGTGTGTGCATTTTAGATTCTTTTTATTTATTTTTGATGTATATTCATTTTTGAGAGAGGGAGGCACAGCCCAACAGGGGGCTCGAACTCATGAACCGTGAGGTTGTGACCTGAGCTGAAGTCAGACGCTTAACCAACTGTGCCACCCAGGCGCCCCGATGTGCATTTTACATTCTAACAGCTCTTGTCACATCGACTTCTAGAGAAATGGAAACCACAGCGAGTGAACATGATTATTTCCTCCTCTTGCCGCACCATGTGTGTTCTTAATATTTTGGATCTTTCCTACCTGACAGGTAAATGATAATACGCTTGGATGTGCATTTCTTCAATTACAGTGAGGCTGAGTGGGTCTTACACACGGATAGCTCTTTCATGTTTCTTTTTATGTGAATAGTCTTTTCGTGTGTTGATTTGATTTTTATCAAGTTCTCTGTCTTTTTAAATTGATCTTTTAGAGCTCTTTGTATATCCGGGAGATGGGCTCTTTGTCTACCGGTGTTGCGAGTGTTTCCCCCAGCTTGTCAGCATCTCTTGATCTTGCCTGTGGCAGGTTTTCCATAAGAAAGTCTTACATTTTTAGTCAAGTATCTTAGTCTGTTCTTATATGGCCTCTGGGTTTTGCATTCCCAGCTCGAGATCACGACAACGTTCATTAGAGAGTTGACCTGGTACTTTTATTCTTTAAATCTTCATTCTTTCTGGACAAGGTGGTTCAGCTTGTTTTCCCAGATAGGTTGCCAACTGTCCCAACACTGTCTTTTTGCTGCGAAGGCAAACTGTGCCCTTTATCCAGCTTGCCCCCTGCCTTCCAGGTCACTGAGGGGGAGCCCAGTGTGATGTGGCTCTCGGGGCTGCACATCCCAGAATCCTACCTCACGGCCCTGGTACAGGCCACCTGCCGGAGGAACGGCTGGCCACTGGACCGCTCCACCTTGTTCACGCAAGTGACCAAGTTCCAAGATGCAGAAGAAGTGAACGAGCGGGCAGGACAAGGTACGGTCAGTGTGCTAGGAAGCCTCCCTCCCCCGAGCCGTCCCTGATTCAGAGGAACAAGCGTGGCATGGGCCGAAACAGGCCAGGCTGTGTTTGAAAGTGAGGCTGCTGTGAATACTGGCTGTGTGTGCACTGTCAGTGTCTTGACCTTGCTGAGGGTCGATGTATGTTACTCTCCCAGTTCCAACACTGAGACCCGGGGTTGATGTCAGGAGAGACAGGAAACACACTCACCCTGTTTGTTTGGGGCAAGTGGGTTCCTGGGTCACAATTTGGTGGTTCAAAGAACTGGATCACCAGAGGGCTTCCCTGGAAACCTTGAGGGGCCAGGGACATGGGAGCCAGAGGGCAGGTCGGACTAGGTTTGACCCATGAAATTACAATGTCAGTCCTGTGACACTGGTGACTGATGCTGCCATTTCCCAGGGTGGTGCCACCATAGAGGACATGTACCCACGAGCCCCAAAAGCCCTGTTGAGTGAGCTTAGGGATGGGGCTCACTGAAGTCTCAGAGGAACTCTCTGGGCCAAGGACTGTCCTCTCCTCTGCCACTGTGCACGTCTGCCATGTTTTGCTCCCCAGGCCCATTTTCTCAGCCAGGCTTGGGCCTGCTCCCCACTCCCTCTGGCCCAGGGGGTTTGGGGGGCTACTGTGGTGCTTCTGTCTTTATAATCTGGGGACCCAAACAGTCTAGGTCTGTGTGCCCTGAAGCCAGACTGCAGGGGGAGGTGACCCTACCTCGTCCCCTTTGTCAAGGCCGTGAGGGAGGCTCATAGTGTCTACGGTATCCCGGCTGGGCTGTCATTCTGAAAAGGGAAGAAAGGACGCCCACCTCTATTTGGACAAAGGCCTGGGGTGTGTCTGGGGACGGAGAGCGAGGGAGTCGCCTCTGTGTGTGTGCTGCAGGGTAGCCGGTGCCTCCGCACCAACCCTGGGCTCTTCCTGGGGCATCCAGGATGCTTTGTTTCAGGACTGTATCTCGAAGGCGCCGACTGGGATGTAGAAAAAGGATGTCTTATCAAGAGCAAACCCAAGGTGCTGGTGGTCGACCTGCCGATTCTGAAGATCATCCCCATCGAAGCCCATCGCCTCAAACTGCAGGTGGAAGGCTGATGCCTGTTCCTGGCTCTCCCTTTCCTGTCCCTCCCCCTGGTGGGGGCACACATGGGGTGGGAGGAGCCGTTCAAACAGTCTTACCTTGTAAGACCCAGGTACTTAGCCTTTCGTGGGTGGGGGACACCCTGATAGGGCAACAGCGTGGAGCCACCCCCCGGGAAGACACACGCATGCAAACGTGTGTAAGCAGAGACTCCCCCGGGGGCACGGCTTCAGGTTCATAGCTGTGGTCCAGATGAGCTTCAGAGGCTCCTCCCTTCCTTTGACCTGCGGGCACTGCAGGCCTGAATAATACTTAGGTCTGGTGTGGACAGTAGGTGCCCCCCACCTTGCCCAGCCCGGATGCCCGTCGGAAGAGTGTATCTCCGCAGTTATCGGGGGTGGGAGGGTGACCCTGCAAAGCCCAGGCCAGGCCTGGCAGGAGGTGCACCGCACTGTCAGCACCTAGACGGAGCTGCCTGCTTCCTGGGCTGTGCACTGCTGCCGCCCGTGGGAGTGCTTCACATGCCTCTCTCTTGCAGAACACCTTCCGGACACCGGTCTACACCACCTCCATGAGAAGGAATGCCATGGGAGTTGGCCTGGTGTTTGAAGCTGATCTCTTCAGCACGAAGCACATTTCTCACTGGGTGCTGCAGGGGGTGTGCCTCACCCTGAATTCCGATTAACCCTTTGGGTGAAGGGACCTGCACCATGGGCTCCATCCGCTGTCAGCTCGTGGGGCCTTTGGAGCTGGACTGATGCTGAGATTCCTTTCACTGGAAACCAGCTGTTTTAATCTCTTTCCATGTAAATTAAGCTGACGGTTTTGTTTTTTTAAGCAATTTAAGGATTCTGTGTATTTGAAAAGTAAATACTGGAGAGCATTTTGAAATGTGTTTTCTTTCCCTTCTCAGAGGAGATGTGTGATCAGGCAGAAGTGCCCCACACGCCACTGGCACGAGTGAGAATTCTAACGGAAAATGTCCAGAGTGTGCTATTGACAATCCAGGTCTCAGTAGATGCCTCTCTGGCAGGAGCAGCCTGCTGGGCATGGGTCCGGGCTGACGATGCCACCCTGGAGCAGAGATGGCCACAGTCGCCCACTGCCACCCCTCCCCATTCCAGAACTCTCTGGCCTGCTGGGTGGGGGGGTGAGGACCCTGACCTCAGGGTTTAATTCCTGCATGAGCTTGTACCTGCAACCTGGCCGGATCTGCATGGGGTGTACAGGCTTACTACAGCCAGAACGGGCCCCTGGGCATCCTGGGGCGAGCGCGGAGCCTGGCCAGGCCTGCTGGAGGCGCGAAGCAGCTTTGCTTTGCAGAGGAGGAGCAACAGCAGGGCAGGGGGCGAGGGCTGGCCATGGGCACAGAACATCCTCAGGGGCAGTGCTGGGCAGGGCTGGGTAACAGGGACTCCTCTTTCCAGAAGTAAAGCTGCCCACCCCTGGGGCCCGAGCCCTGGGAAAAGAACACAACACAGGGTGAGAATGCAGTAGTTACTGGGGGGCCTGTTTCTCCCCCTCCTCCAGTGCCCCCCCCCCCAGCTCCTCCCTCAGGTGGTTTAATAAAAGACACAAAACAGAAGGAGGCAGGTTTAGAAAATAAAGTTTGTTGGGATCTTGAACACTTTGGGGAAGACTAACAAAAAGAATATGAACACACATTCAGGTTGTGGTGATATGAGGAAGAACGTCATCTTATTGAGTTCCTGTGATTGATAGACACATACAGCTGCTCTGCTATCGGGGCCGCCCTGGGAGAGGCTTGTTGGAGGTTATAGGGTCTCCAGGAGCAGGGCCTCCCTGGAAACTGGAGCGAGGGTCAAGGCCGGTGGGCACGTGTTGCTCCGACTGCATAATTAGGCGTGTGACTATCTGGTTTCATTAACGTCGAGCAGCGATGCAGCCTGTGGCCTGTGCTTTGTCCACGAGCACGGAAGCTGCACGGCGCAGGGGGAGAAGCGAGCGGTCCGGCACACAGGCGTGGCCACAGCAGTTGGTAGATAGGTGTTCTGCAGCAGGGACACGATCGTACTCTGGCGTCGGAACGAGGGCATAAGGAGCAGGAGCATCAATCTGTTGATGTGTCTGAAAAGAAATTTGGCATGCATGGGGACCGGGGGTGGGGTGGGGGGAACGGCGTGGCTGAGTTTTTCCGAGTAGTGATCACAGTGCGTCGACAGCCGGGGGTGAAGGGGCGCCCGGGGCAGGCTTCACACAGTTCTGTCCGTCCCTGAGTGCTTCCTCACGACCTTGCCTCCGTTCACCTGGTCCACCGCCAGTGTCTCCACCTCGGGCGGGGCCTGCGGCGGGGCGGCGTGGTGGATACGGTGGGCCACCCCCACGTGGGCTTTGTGCTGCTTCTCGCGTGCCGGGCTGTGCCGCTCGCTGGAGCCGCGGTCGGAGGCGATGGGGGGGATGACCAGGGGCCGCTCCTTGACGAGGTGGACCTCGGCCGACTCCCTGGCCAGCAGGAATGGGGTGGGGTCGGGCATGGCGTCCACCGGTTCCCGCAAGAGTAGTTTCCGGCTCTCAGCCCCGAATCTGTAGACCTCTTCAAATTCGGGGTGCAGGGGGGCCGAAAGGCTCTTTTTCATTCGGCGGCGGGGCGTTTCAGGCAGCTTGTCCTTGGGGGGGGCGGGCTTGTAGCCGGCCAGCACGGGGCTCCCGGACGGGCTGCCGTCCGACGTCCCACTGGAGCTCACAAGCTTCCTCTTGGCGGCGTGCAGCTGCGAGGTCAGGTAGGCGATGGTGCCGGCGCGCTGCTCAAGCTCGCCAGACAGCATGTTCAGCTTGTGGCTCTTGAGCTTCAGCTCCTCCAGGTACTTCTTCTCCCGCTCCTTGATGGTGTTCTCCAGCACCAGGATCATGGCGTTCTTCTGCTCCAGCTCCTGGAGCAGCTCCTTGTTCTCATCTTCCTTGAGCTTCAGCTGGGCTTCCAGCTCTTCGCATCTTCTCTGTAGCTCACTGCTTCTAGAAGATCCATCTCCTAGGAGTGAGCCGAGGGACAGGATTAAGAACCCTCCCCTCACCCCACTCCCCACCCCCAGAGCAGAGGCAGGAGGCCTGTCCAGGCTGGTCTCACCGCTGGGGGCTCGGGCGGGAGCACGGTGCTCCCACACTCCACCCTGCCCCACTGCGGTGCCCTCCCCCCACCAACGCAGGGGTCGCATGCCCTCTGAGTTCCTTTCAGCTCTCAGTTCTCTGGCTCCTCACACAAAAGCAAGCCTCCTACGTTCAACAATGCCCAAGTCACAGCGCGCAACCTCTGGGTTTCAGACCTCGGCAAACAGGAATAAACTGTGAGCCGATGCAGCCATCTGCTCAGGTGGCATTTACTCAACACCAGCCCCGTCGTGAAACAAACGTAGACCCTTTCCGCGTCTAAGCACAGAACCCTGAAGCTGCAGAGGAGAGGCTGCCCCTTCCTGCCACACGGGTCCCCTCTCTCATCGTGTCTCAGAGGGCGGGGTCCCCCATGCCTGTGCTTTGGCTCCACCTTGGCCCCCGGCCTGCCCTCCACCAGGTGCTCAGGGACTCCCCGGCCAGTGCAGGATGGGAGCCAGCGTCTGGGGGCGCCTCTCACGTGGGGACACGAGCCGAGCGCAGACCCTGATCCAGGGCTGGACTGACACTGGCGGGCACCGACCTTTCAGGAGCTCCTTCCAATGCCTGCCCCTGCCTCCCTGAGACCCCAGAGAGCTGCTCTCAGGTGACCTCTGTTCGCAGGGAGCAGCACCTCCTGACCTACTGCCTCCCACTCTTCTGCAGGGAGCTCTGCACGCGCGTCCCTGCCGCACGCAGGTCCCTCCAGGAGTGCCCATCCCTCCCTGCGGAGGCCACATCGTCTGCAGCAGGCTGCCTCCCACTGCCTGAGCACTCGGTTACCGCGGCACTTTGTCTTTTTAGGACTTAAAAAAAAATTTTTAAGTTCTACACCCAACGTGGGGCTCGAACTCAACCCTGAGGTCGTCATCTGCTCTACCTACTGAGCCAGCCAGGTGCCCCTCACTGTGGCATTTTTGGGCAGATTCTCAGGTCCCTCCCTGACCCTCGGAATCAGAACCTCCAGGGCAGGAGCCCGTGGCCTCACCCTGTGGCCCTAGACCGAGCAAGTTCCACATCCACTAAAGCAGTGATTTCCAGCCCTGGGGAGAGGAGAGGCCCTGACCAGGACCAGCTGAGAGCTGTCCCACCGCCTCCACAGGAGACATCCCCAGGCCAACTGTCACCCTGAGCCGCTGCTGCCGACAAGGGTGGGTGAGTGGCCTGGGGACCTAGGCCCGAGGACCCTGGGGCACTATCTAGGGCCCAGGGCAGTAGGGACTGGACATATGAGCTCCATCCTCCTGGAAGCAGAGAGGGTTCGGGGCAAGAATCCTGTTTCTTCAGATCAGTCTGGCCAGGAGGCGGCGGGAGGCGAGGACACAAGTGCTGTGACCTGACAGCAGGGGTGCAGGCCCTCCTGCTCTCCCGAATCCCCAGAGGCCCAGATTCTGGTCCAGGCCTTCAGGGGATGAGGAGCCTGGTGTCCTGCCTCTGCAGCGAGGTCTGAAGGGTGGGCTCTGGTCCCCAGGCCCCTCCTCTGCCATACAGACAAAAGGCCATCTTGGTCCCTGAGAGGCATACTTAGGCGACCGTAACCTGAGTGTCATGAACCACAAGTCCACGCTTGGTGACGCACTGAGATCCATGGAAAGGTCTGTATCTGTTACAAGGGCTTGGATGTGTTCATGAATAATAACTGCCACTGTGAAACCTATTTAGAAAAAGGCAACTTGCGGCGCCTGGGTGGCTCAGTCCCGAGTGTCCAACTGGTGATTTCAGCTGAGGCCATGATCCCAGGGTCGTGGAATCGAGCCCCGCTCTGCACTGAGCATGGAGATTCTCTCTCTCTTTCCTTCTGCTCCTCTTCCACACTCATGCTCTCTCTCTCTCTCTCAAAAAAAAAAAGAAAAAAAAAAAAGGTGTCTTGACTCAAGTGTGGATTCTGCACTAAACCCCCACTCCGTTCTGGGGAGCAGGCTATTTGCCATCGGCCACAGAGACCCCAGTTCTATCTCCTCCATCTCAGCTGCCATCAGGTGGATCTCTTTGGGGTCCTGGATGATTCTGGTTGAGGGGCAGCATTTCTGGGACTGTAGTCTACACAAAGACATTCATGATCCTCTGGGAACTAGCTAGTAATTTGGTAGCTCATTCAGGTAGTGTTTAGGGAGCACCCACTCTGTGCCAAGTCCGTATGAGGCTCAAGGGACAGAAGGGAAGGGACCCTGCTCCTCTTCTGGCTCTCTTTAAATTACATAAATTACATCTCTTGATGATAGAAGGAACACATATTCACTAAAGAAAAATCAGAAGATCAGGAAAAGCATATAATAGACATTCCAAATAACAAAAGAAAATAAAGAAAATAAAACCACTCCTGCACAGACAGCCCCTCAGAATGTTGCAGAGTTCAAACCTCCTTCCCATCTTTTCTTAGAAAGCTCTGGTCACATGTGCAACTCTTCCTAGCAAATGTATTTTCTTCTCCATGTGTAGGTAGTGAAAACAAATGGCACCAACATGTGCCACAACAGGAAGTAATATGGTCATTAACTTTCGGGGAGGAGGTCCTTACCTGTCTGGTCCGAACTTTTGAGGGTCAGCTCATATGTTAAATCTAAAATGGAAAGCATGTACGTTAATTTTGTATGGTTACAGTAAATCTAGAATCCTTCATTAGCTCTGAAAATGCAGAACCTACTTCTGCGATCAGCCTGTGCGTCCTGCCCAGACATAGCAGGACTGGGCAGCATCGGGCACGCGTGAGACGGCAGAAACCACCAGCGGCCACTGTCCTTCCTAGTACTCAGAGGACACCCACCTTCCCTAAAACACACACCAGCGGCCGCAAGCAGCTTGCTCTGTATGTTTTGTTTTGGTGATCGGTTCCAAAATGCACTGCCAGTTCTAACCACTGCATTTTGATCTTCTAAGTCCTCAGAGTGCTGAGAAATGGCTTTGTGCGTGTCGATTAGGCAACGAGGATGAGCTAAGGTACTGGAATGGCCCCTGGCAGAGTAGAGCGGAGCCCCCTCCTCACTCTGTCCCGGGCGAGCCTGGCACAGCGTCCAAGCGGCCACCGTGCGAGCCAGTGCCGGTCCCAGGCCCCGCGCTGCCCTGCCGTGGGGGTGGGGGGCCCGTACCCGTGCAGTGCTGCTGCAGCCGCCTGATCTCGGCGTGCAGCCCCTTGAGGGTGCTGGCGTGCTCCCGCTGCAGGAAGAGGAGGTTCTTCTGGGCGCTGTGCAGCTGGTTCTCCAGGTTTGTGGCCGCCATGCTGACATCCAGGTGACCTGCGGGAGACACAGACACTGGCGGCTGTCCCTGACAACGGCGGTCGTGGGTGATAGGCTGGAAGAGGACGCTGCCTGCTGACTCCCCTCCTTGGCACTGGGGCCCTGTGGGCAGCGTGAGGGTGGGCATCAGACCCCAGGCTCCCGGACTCCAAATCCTGGCCTTTCCACACGCCACCTATACTTCTGCAGACTGTGACCAGAACTGCCAGATTGTCAAAGATTTCCCTGATGAGCTAGGCACCCACAGCTGCCTCATGGGAAACTGGGCACCTGGGTACTGGGGGGAACATTTCCTCAAAATGGCATTGAGTGCTGGCCAAAGCGAGGTGCAGGAAGAAGAGGTGGCGAGAATTCCGGTGGAAGACTTTGGATTTCACAGAACTGAGAGGAACCCTGGGTCTTTCTTTGGGAAAAGGGCCATGTGGCAACTGTGGGAATCTGGAGTCTGTCCCCGTACCCTGCCTCCCTGCCCATGGTGGTTTCAGTCCTCAATCGTCAGCTGCTCACACGGGGCCTACGATTCTCCGCCTTTGCTGTAACTGGATAAACATGGTGAAGTCAATCAGTTTTTCTGGAAAAGCTACCAAAGAAATTTAAGACGCCTCACGCAGCACTGAAAAATGCAAAGGACCAAAGGCGGGTAATTTACTTATAAATTATTCTTGTAAACACAGAGCCTCAGAGCAGTTTCCTCATCTGCTTTGCCAAAGTCCCTCCCAGAGGAGACGCCACTTTTCAGATGGCTTCCAGTATGTGGATGGGCGGCTCTGGAGAAGACCACACACCCAGGCACTGTTGCCACATTGGGTGACACCACTCACTGACTTGTAAGGCCAGTGCCATATTTACACTCCAGCTCTGGAGCTAAGAAAAGCTCATGATTGGAACTCAAGACCCATGTCTTCACCACATGGAAAAGCTTCCCGCCATTTCCCCTGGCCACTGGCTTCGCTCCAGAGGGAACTTAAGAAGGAAATCGCGTGACAGGCGAGCCCGACAAAGGGAAGGTCAAGGGGGAAGGGGGAAGGGAGCCGGGCACAGAGGAACAAAAGGACTCTCTGGGCAGGCAGGGGGCGCAGTGCAGCCCCGGCTACAGGGTCAGCTGTGGATGTGGATGTGGGAGATGCCGGCAGCAACTGGAAAAAGCGCCTGTATTTTTGGGGCTTGCCAACGAAGACAAAGAGCAACTTCAAGTTGATCCAGAACCTGCGGGCCTAGCATGACAAGAGTGATAACTGTGCCAGGTGCACAGTCTTCCCCCCTTGGCAGGGCTCTTGCCCATGGGCGCCCACTGGGCAATCCAACCAGTGTGCTGGGAGCCTGGTACACGGGATCCCACGTGCCACTCCATCGAGGAGGGGTGGCACCGGTGGAGCCTTCAGGCTGAGCAGCCTTTGATTCCAAGGGCTTCCTGCTTAGATGCTAACTTCACAGGCATGTCTTGCTCCAAGAAAATGGGAAACACTAAAATTTCAAACTGGTTTTGTCCAGCATCGAGATGTGCCCATTCACATTCTAATTGCCTTGGTGAATCAGCAGCTTTGAATTATATGAGCTCTGTAATTCACTAGTTCAATGGGGCAAGCGCAGAAGTAAGACCATGCCCTTGAAGCTCCCATTGCCATGGGCAGTCTCGGGAGGAAGACACACCAGGTAAGCAGGAAGATATGAGTATGTGACGTGCTGAGCCGGCAAGGGAGCTGTGGCTGCCCTGCCCGGGACACTGACAGTGGTGGTGGGGGACAGGTGGCACTTCACCTGACGGGTGCCCTCCTCTTCTGAACTGGACACACACCAACACTGCAGGCCCCCTCAGGCCCTAGGAATCGAGTCACGTCTCCAAATGGTATCCAAGCTACTAAATTATTTTCTATCAGCTCAAAAGGATAACAACATCACTGACTTCCCGAGGGCAGAGAGTCACTGTAGCTTAATAGAAAGTGATTTAAATGTCTTATCCTTAGCTCTTGTGACGTGTAATCATGGCCCTGACCTAATCCTTCCAGTAAATGGCAAGAATGAAGCTACCAAGGCATCCCGGTTAGGCCAAGGAGACACAGCTGAGAGCTGCGGCTAATCTGGAGGAAGAAAAGAAGGTGGTCCTGCGAGGTTGGATTCAGAATCTCTGAGACACCCAGGAGTCAGAGACACGAAGGAGCATCCGTGACTCCCCCTAGAAGGGTCAGCATCATGGATGAAGTGAAGCTGCAGGGCATCTGCTGCGCGTGAATAATGCATCCTGCCTGAGGAAAGGTGCTCACCCCATCCTGATCACGTGTGGACCAGTAACGGAAGGCGACATTCAAGGAGCACGGCTTGCACGACACTGCACTCTGTGTGTCAGAAGGGCATATGCTACAAAGTGTGGGCTCTTTATACTGCAGCTCTTTGTCTTGAGGCAAAATCCCATTTTTAGGAGAGGTCAGCAGTTTCACAGTTACCAGCTCAGCCGACTGCAGGGCAGCCTGGACGCCAGCCTTCCTCTCCTCTCAGAGATGCTGGCCTCAGCTGCAGACGAGGGGTGCCATGAGACTGGCACTCGAGAGCCCAGCCACAGCGGTGGCTGGAGGGCAAGGCCCATAACCGTGATGTGCCAGAGCCAGAGGAACCCCAGGAGGGGTGGGAACAGGCTGCCTTGACCATGATGTGGAGGTTAAGCCCCATGTGCATTTTTTTCCATGTTAAAGTCATTAGGTAGTAAATGTCTGTTAATATGCTATTCACTGTATAAGTCTGGAAAATTAATGCTTGACAAAGGCTTGCTGTTCCAAATTCTATAGACATGGGGTTTGGAGGCCTGGCCAAGACCGCCTGCCGCAGTGGGGAGGGATGCTAACACCATCTCCTGGCGATAACATGCTTTTAATGAAGGTCCTTGGAGAGATGTCGGCCCCGACCTCACCGCGGCTGCTCTGCGGCAGCAGGAGGACAAATGGCCTGTCAGTAGCTCGTGTCCAATTCTCATCCTAATTCAAAAGTAATGTTCTTTCTTCTCTTTCAGGGCATTAATGTTTAAATGATGACACGATAATTTTATTTATGGGCCATCTCCAGTTGTACAAGCACAAAGTGCTCTCCTATCACTTAACGTCGTCTGTTCTCGCAATACCCCCTGAGGAAGAACAGGAATATCCCACCGACAAGGGAAAACAGAAATCAGGAAATGCTGCACCCAAGCCTCATGGCCTCTCTGGGCCCTCAGGCTCTGTGGGTCAGAATTCTGAAGGCTGGGGTAGGTCTCAATTCCTCGCACACGTGGATGCCCACATCACATCCAATGCTCTGACACGGGAGGGGACAGGCGTGATGCCTCGCTGTGCCCTCTCTGCCCAGGGCGTGTGCGCCAGACCTGGGCCACGCGGCGGCCTACACACCACTGCTCCCCAGGGCAGGACTCACAGGCTCTGACCCCTGGCCAGAGGGCACTGCTGCCCATCCAGTAGGGCAGAAAGATGCAGCAGCGAAGTTGCCCAGGACACTGGGTGATGGCAGGGCACTCTGGGCCTAGCTGGAGCCTTTATGAAGCAGCTAGGCTAGCCTGAGGAAAAAGAATAAGGTACCCACTGAGTCGCATGTGTGTCCTGGTCCTTGGGGTCCAGGCAGGTGGCCACTGTGAGAGCCAGTGCCACACTCCCTCTCTGCCTCTGGGCTGACTCAGAAATGAGGCCGGGGGTGGTAAAAAAGCCATGCCTCTACTGTTACAGTGGGGAGGGACCAAAGCCCCCATTTAAACACATACGTTTTCCCTAACATCCCTCCTAAGCGCACACCCAGATCTTGCCCACACCTGCAGCTACAAAGAGAGCTCTGACCACGTTGCGTCCTTGCGATGCTCCTGGGATCCAGCACCCCCCGTTCCCAGAGGCCCTGCCCGCCCGGCCCACCCCTCTCCAGGCTCGCCCCACACCAGTCCCCTGGGGGCTCCGTCAACTCTGCTGTCCTCTCCTGCACCCCATCTGCCGCACCCCTCCCCCGGCACAGGGACTTAGTGCACCTGGTTCCCTGCATCTGGAATGCCCTTGGCAAATCACCTCCCACCCTCTTGCCCGATGCAATTCCATTCTTCCTTCACATCTGAACTCCTGCACCACAGACGGGCTCTGGATAGGTTTACACTGCTTCCTAACATTGCTGAGAGGAGACCTCGACAAGAACTACATTGCATTAGTCAAAAAGCACTTGCGGCAGCATTGATTTGAACATGACCTCATCCCATAATTTCCTGACATGCCAGAGCAGTATTTTAAAGTGTCCCGTACCACATTTCAGCAATGGAGTATCTTTGATCGGAAAGGGTCCCACCATTTGAAAATGGGAAATTTCTTTGTTCCTGGCAATCGCAAGCAGACTTCTCTTTTCACAAAGCCTGTGGAAATAGGGTAATAATTTTAGACTCTGAAAAAATAGCACAGTAGCACTCACGTGGTAGCTGTGAATTAGTTATAAGAAGCTATTTTAGATTCTAGTCATGAATAAGTTATAACCCATTCACATTTGGTTCTCTCGCACCGCAGGCATGGAGAACAGCTCCAGTCCATCCCGACGCTGTCTCTGGAGCCCTCGGCATGGCCTGTGACTCAACAGGACCCACCTGGCCCGGAGCAGATGGTGGTACCCGTGTTTTGTGACGAGGGCCTACGTGGCCTTCTCCTGGGGACATCGTGTGCCCCTTCCTGTGTGTCCTACAGCACAGGCTGCCACGGACAAAATGGAGGTTGGCCAGGGGCAGAGGCAGCAAGTGTAGACCTCAAATGTAAGAGGAGAGGAGATGATTTCTAACAGAGAGGTGGTATTCCAAGCAGATTCATGGACTCAAAATGTTAAAGGTGGAAGAAACCTTCAAAATCAGCTAGCTATTCCAACCCCTCCTTATTTCAAGATTAAAAAACTGAGGCCCAAAGATTTGCTTAACACAGTGGGATCAACAAGACCAGAAGAGACAAGCTCCTGAGGAGTCAGTGTTTGGGGTTAAATCTGAACACCATCTTGTCACCTAA